CGGCATGCAGGTCCATGGCCTTGGTCTTCTCCTCCACCACGTTCTCAGGCATGAGGTCTGCGGGGAGCGTCCGTGTGGGGTCTGGGTCTGCCCGCCCCCGCCCCGGCCCCCGCCCCGCAGCTCACACTGGTGCTGGATGAAGCAGTGTGCCGCCAGCAGCTTGAGCGAGTGCACCTCGAAGAGCACGCGGTGGAAGAGCAGGTTGTGGGCAGAGGGCCGGTGCGCGGGGTCGCGGGCCAGGCAGGAGAGGATGAACTCCTGGACGGGAGGAGGCACGGCCATCTCTGCCCTGGCCCCAGGCCCCACTCCGGGGGATGCGGTGTCCCGCAGCCTCAGAGCGGGAAGGGGCCAGAGGGGCCGTCCATGCCTGACCCTACAACTGACGGTCAGGCCCTGCGGCCTGCCTGGTGCCACTTCCTGAAACCTCCATGGAAATTACGGGGTACACAGGTGCCCTGGTCCACAGATGGTACCTGCTTGCTCAGGGCAGTACCAGGCCCTGCCCGGCAGCCCTGGGCATGGCAGAAGGCCAGCCACTGGCCTGGTCCCCAGGGGCCCGTGCAGTGACCCCTGCCCCAGCTTGCCCCAGAGGTGGCTACGGGGTGCCCCACCCTATGGATCTCTCCGCCAGGCCCTCCCGCCCACTGTCCTGATGCCCAGGTGGCGCGCCCTGCTCAGAGGCTCCGGGCACAGCTCCCGTCCGTGCTCCCGGCTCACCTCGCCCTCGGGGTGCTCACCCCTGGCCTCAGCAACCCCCACAGCTGGGCCACGCCACCAGCCTGGCTCTGGAGGCGGGGAGCAGGGTGTGGACACAGCAAGGGACAAAGCCGTGGACAGAGTGCTTGGGCCCGCCTGTTCGCCACCCATGAGGTGGGCAGGACGGCTGCCCAGGCGCAGGCATTCTGCGGGCTTCTACCCACAGAGCCCTCAGGCCGGGGCCCAGGCTGGCTTGCGCTCAGGCCAGGCCTTCCTGGAGCACCGAGAGGGGCCTGGGGCCACTTACCCGCATGTTGGGGTCGCCCAGGGAGTGCCTGGCACGAGCGATGGCCTCCTCCGTGACTCGGGTGTCCCCGTTGGCCTGAATCTCCAGCACGGCCATCTGGGGGGGTAGCAGGTCAGGCAGGGCAGGGCAGGGCGGCGCATGCAGCGAGCGGGCCGCGAGCTACCTCCAGCGCACACATCCCGAAGGAGAAGATGTCCACCGCCGTCCCGTCGGCCACCTCTGGGGGGAGAGCCGGTCAGGGCGGCCGGGAAGCTGGGCAGCAAGGCGCCGCGGGGCGCGGCCGGCGCGACTCACCGCCATACTCCGGGGGGAAAAAGTGCAGGTTCCGCTGCTCCTCCCGCTCCGCCAGGATGGGGCTCCGGAGATCGTCGGGGAGCGCTGCGGGGGCCAGAGGGTGAGCCGGCAGGCCGCCCCCACCGTCCCCCCAGCGCCCACTCACCGTTGGAGAAGATTCGGTGCCATACTGCGCCGGCCACGGGAGGAAGGGCTGTGTCAGGGCGCGGGCCGGGCTCCGCGCTGGGCTTCGGGCAGGACCCTCCGCGC